TTGGGTTTGGCTGCCCTGGCAGAGTGCGGCCGGGCTAGCTCCTTGTCCCTAGATCTCGCAGGTAAATCACTTATAAGATGGCACGGCACGGTCGGACAGGTCTGCGCCGCTCCGGGCAGCTCTTCCTCCCCTCGCTCAGGAAAATGATCTTTGCAAAGGGCTCATCTCTGAGCCCGTCAATGTTTGGGATTTACCCGACCGGTAAAGACCACGTGTTTTGTTTGCGTTGTAATTCCGCAGCTCCTTTGTGTAGGCAAATGCCTGTTTACTCCTCACGCGCCCAAAACGAGATAGGCAGGTACTTGCAAAATCCCCACTGGCGGCTGCCCGTGTCGATCGGGGATTTCAAAGGCGGCTGTTGCAACCTGTGCCCAGGAATGTGACCTAAATCTCGGGGTTGGGGCGCCGAACACGAGGGAAACCGGCCCATGCTGGGAGCATCTTGGTTATCCATGGATAAAGGGAGTCCCCGGAGGAGCCGGCGTTTCCCTCGGCAGCGGTACGCAGGCGGTGAGGCATTAGCCTGCGTATTAACGCGGAGAAAATCCGGGTGTTGCACAGGGAGGGAGGGAGGAGCATGGTGCTGCGTGGGGCCGGCGTTCCCTCGGGGACCGGAGCTGCGTGCGCCGAGGCGATGGATCCAAAACCCATCCTGTTCCTACTAAATCCAAGCAAAGGAAGTGCTCCCAAGGGACGCCGCGCTGGGTTTGCGGCTGCCTGGCGTTGGTCCGGTCAGTGGAGCAAGGCGGTGAGCGAGCAGCATCACTGTAGTGAAGGTTTTGGGGAGGAGAAAGACCAAAAGCGGATACCCTTGCCCAAAAAGTCGAGGTCTTTGGCAGCTCCTCGCCAGCAAACGTCCCGACGGCCCAAAAGGCGCGGGTGGGGTTGGCCCAAGCTGGAGTTGGGTTTTTCGGAGAGCTCCTTTCCCCTGGCTGCAGTTTTCGCCTGGTGTATGGAAGCAGCCGGAGGGTGGGAAGGCGTCTGGTCCAGCTTAGCTTCCCACCACCCTGGTGATCGGCGTTGGCAGGGGTGCAGAGCCGTCTGGGAAGCGGGTGCCTGAACGCTCAGCGTGTTGTGTGATCCTCCTGCAGGCGGGCCCATCTGCGGCTGTGTTTGGAGAAGCTGAAGGGGCTGGTACCGCTCGGACCTGAAGCCAACAGACACACCACCCTGAGTTTACTAACGAGAGCTAAATTGCACATCAAGGTGAGCGTGGGCTCGTTTGGTACCGCTCTGGGAGACACGGTAATTTGGGTTCCGGCCCCGTTAGGCAGATGCCGAGCTCGGCTTCGAGAGCGGCACCGCCATACGGGGCGCAGGGGTTTTGGGACATCTGGGTCCTCGAGCGGGACAAAGGTAACGGCCAGGTCGGGACGTTGCTTTGGGAATCCCACCGGAGGCTGATGCTGTTGTGGGGTGGTAGCACCCTTCCCGCGGTCGGCACAGCGAGTCCGTGCGATTCTCCTTATCAACGGGCTCGCAAAGGGCGGCCACGCACGCCGCCTACGCCGCAGCCATGCCCTGAGGCCTTAGGGACGAGCCCGGCTGCGGGATTGGAGGACAGCTTCCTTTCTCCTTTCTTTTCCAGAGAATTTTGTACTTCACTCTCTGCCCTTTAGACTTTGACTCAACAGGGCTCTCCTCGCTGGGTGTATTTAGAGCTCTGCGAGCTGAGAGATAACCGGGGCAGCACCAGCACTGGGCTGCGCTCGCCTCCCTCGTTATCAAAGGCTCTGAAAATACATAAATAGGATGGGGCCGGCTCCATAAACTGGAGGGGGACATGTCCTTTACGTGCCTTCTCCGGCAGCCTCGGGGCAGGTCCGGACCCCTCCATCCCTCGGCTGCCCCCTGCTTTGACGCCTTTTATCTGCACCCGCTCGATGTCCTGAGCGTGGGCCACCGCGTTGATGCCGGGGAGCCCCTCGGCTGTGGGATGCGGTGGCGTTCGGGTGGGGAGAGCGATGTTTCACGCGCGGCTGGGGAGCTCAGGGCGCCTTCTCTCCTTCGTCCTCCACAGAAGCTTGAAGACTACGACAGGAAAGCCGTACACCAAATAGACCAGCTGCAGCGGGAGCAGCGGCACCTGAAAAGGCAGCTGGAGAAGCTGGGGATAGAGAGGATAAGGATGGACAGCATCGGATCCACCGTTTCTTCGGAGCGCTCGGACTCGGATAGAGGTGAGACTCCTGCGCTCAGGGCAGAGCGGGGCCAGCTGGCGGGAGGGCTGCCCGGCCGCCTCATAACGCTAACGGTTCCTCTTGCAGAAGAGATCGACGTGGACGTGGAGAGCACGGACGACCTTCCTGCGGACCTCGACTGGAGCAGCAGCAGCCCGAGCGACTCAGACGAAAGAGGGAGCCTGCAGAGCGTCTGCAGCGACGAGGGCTATTCCAGCTCCGGCGTGAAGAGGTTGAAGTCGCAGAGCTGGACCGTCCCGCCATTCTCTTGCACGTCAAAAAAAATCTTAACATACCGCCCACCGAAATGAAGTTGAGCTTTTGCCGAAGGCCCAAAACACCGCGCAGGGCTGCGGGTGGCAAGCTGCTCCCCGGAGCGCACCTCCGCTCGCGTCCGCTGCCTTCTCTCCCCGTCCAAAACTCCTCCCTGCGAGACTGGGTGCTCCACCCGCATCTTGAAGCACCCGAGAATATCGCAGCGGTATCAGCAACCTCAAACGCCTGCCCCTGGGTTTTTTGGCTTGCTCTCACCGCCCGGTATTCCGGATGTACTCCGCATTCGCCCAGCAACATCACGTACCCGATAATCGGCGGCAGGGCCCAAAAGTCAAGTTTTTGGGTGAGGATCTGAAGGCAGAGCCGGCCTCTTGCGCAGTTTAGATCCCGGGAGAGAGCGGAGGCAAGTCAGCGCCAGGCACGCGGAGCGTTTTGGCTACGTCGCGTCTTGGACGGGCGCAGGGTTCACACCGCTGGCACATTAGTCGGGGGGCTCGTCTCCGCCGACTCTAAATATTCAGGGTAGCAGCGCAGCCGTACACACCCCAGCCCGGCCTCGTCCCGGAGCCGGAGCCTTCCTCGCCTGGGGAACGCCGCTGGGGGGGCTCCGCAGTCATCGCCTCGCCCAGCCTCGGGTCGGACGCCTTCACTCTGGGAAGTTTTCTGTCCTACCTAAACCCAAACGCTCCCTGTCCCCGTCCCGTGCAAGGTCCCACCTCCCGCGTCGCGGCTGCGCATCGCTGTTCTAGGCGAGGGCTCCTGGAATTTTTTTCACGCTTCTTGTCTCTGGGACAAATTTTTTCTACCTCGGAGAGATGAACAAAGATTTTCTCCATCCCTTTAGCACAAAAAACAAAGATGATGCCTCATTTGTTTTCCAGAAGCGATGCCCAGCCCCGTTCAAATCCGTCGCGCGACAGTTTAGCAATAACCCGGCGGCGAGGGGGAGGGGGGCAGCC